CTGCATTTGGGACTATTCTCATATGTTCAACACAGCCTACATCAGAGAAAATAAGTGCAAAATGTGTTCCTAGTACTCTTGGGAACTCTTGTTGTTACGGGCAATCCTTCCTCTAGCAGCACTCTAGAATACTGCTCCACACACAGCAGGACTGATAGCCACTGCGGATTTCAGGGCAAGGTGTGGGAAGGGGCCAGCTCTGGTGGAGCCTCAGGAGGAAGAGGCAGCCAACCCTCAGCATTGCGTAGGGCTGTGCTGCTGGCCTCCCTTACCCCAGCTCTCAGAGCCCCAGGTTGTGCCTAGCACAGCGCTCTGGCAGTGATTCAAAGGGGTCAGGGGCTCCATACGCTGTTGCTGAGTCAGTAGCAGCATTTGCATCTTGGAGTCTCAGGTCCCTTAAACTCACCAGGCCCTGGGGCAGCTACCCTTTTTGTCTTCCCTGTCGACGGTCTGGTCCACACAATACATTTTATGAGGGAGCTGGCTAGAAAGGGAAAGACTGGAGTTCTGTAAATCATGAGGAAGTTCTAATTCAGATATCCAGCACATGGCAGGCACTCTATCACTATGTTCTTCTGTCTGTGGCAGTCAGGGCTACCACAATAATCTTACTGACTGTAAGTAAAGTGTGTATTTTTATAGATATTAAAGAGCTGTATCTATTCTTAGTACAGTCACTGCATTACATTAAGATCCCCTTACCCTATGATTACTAATGTGGTAATATACCAGCTGAAAATTCCTTTCTTTCCATTGATTTCCTGCAATTTTTTGTTGCTGGTTTTTTTTTCCATATTAAAATTGAAGATCTAAACTACCATCAACATTTTAATAAAATCTCACAGAAATATATACTCCATTTGGCCACCTAATGTTGGTCTTTTATTGCAGCCACCCCCAAAATGAAGGAAACAGAAGGATTCAAATGTATTTATGGCCACAATATTATGTATGTGGAACAGAGATGTTTGTGACTCTGTGTGAGAGGAAGATCAATACCGTAATCTGTAAGTTTCTAAATGTGTTTTACTGCATATTGTCTGGAATGTTTTATAAAGGGCTGGGGAATAGAGTGAGCTACAAGTTAGTGATTACCTATCATGCTGCCTCCTGGGATATGTTAAAGCTTTCAGAATGCAGTCGAGGGACAGCAGATTTTAAAATACAACGCTGGGAATTTTTTCCTGTGGGTGGGTGAGCAGTCAAAAGCAATAACCTCGTGTCTTAAGTTTTGATGCATGGGCTCTTCAACCTCTTTTTTTAATGACAAATTAATCTTGCATAATGCCATGAAAATCTTACATGTGCATTACAATCAGTACACTAAGTACCACTGGAAATTTGCTTTTGTTGCCACCAGTTTACATTCCTTTCATACTCTGCATGCTACCAGCACAATGGGAAAATGCACGCAATCAGATCTTGCAGTTCATAGAAAGTTAAAATGTACTTTATTCAGAGATCAGTCATTGGAACAACTGTGTTAATGAAAATGTATAGATTTTCATTATTTGCTTAATTTGCGCAGTTCATTTGTAATTGAATAGGCTTCGGTGGCACACAAAACCAGTTGTAGCATTACAATTGTAACATAATTACCATAAATTATCAACATATAGTGTTCACAACTGGGGGGTTAGAAACTTAATATAACCTAGTGTTTCAGCATCAAAACCTAGAAATTCAAGTAGCTGTGAAGTGTTTTTTATTTGTTTAAGAAATATATGGAATTCAAATTTGGACCTGTTACACAAAGCAGTCATAATATGCAATAAATCTTATATGGAATTTGTCAAATCTAGCAATTTGAGGAAAGGGGAATACTGAACCCTTTGTAAAGTCACTTACAATTCACTCAGCACTTGCTTCTAAAATGCATTGCCCCATTAAAAGTCAGTGCTTCTGATACTATTCTCTGAGAAGCCACTATAGTATTTAATTTCAATAATAACGTTTTGCTGGAAAAAATGTGAATTGTGTGAATAAGAACTGTTTGCCTTATTTAGAAAATGCTGAATATATAATTTATCAATTATCCAGATGAATCTTAACATTGAGGAATTCAGTCATCAAGCTATAAACTGTTTCCAATAAACAACTTCAGATAATAGTGCTGGTAAATGCACCTACTTTGGGGACAGATAACATAGGCATGCATTTCCTACAGACAAGAAAAAGAAATAGTGAAAAAACTGGAGCTCTCTTGAGACAGATGAACTCAAGTTGAAGTAAATTCACTCTGTGATTTGGAAAACAATTGAAAACGTAAGTAGGAAAAACCTTAGCAGAATTATTTTCACCACTTTGGAAATAAGAGGCACAAGTAGATCAAAGAAAATACCTACATAGCCCCTTTAATTGTTAAGAGAAAGTTAGGAATAGTCATTTAGGAATAGTCAACATAAATTTACACATAGCAATCATGCCTAACCATGAAAACTGTAGCTTTAGACATTTTATTTTAAGTTGAAAGGTAGGGCAGTAAAGCACAGTAGAAACAGAAGAGATTGTACACTGATATAAAACTCACAATACCAAAAGATAAGGCATCAAAATAATACATGTAAGGCATGCGATCTTTCCATATCTCAGTCACATCCCTTCTATTCTGTGGGGAAAAAATAGTAAAATTACATAAGGCTAGGCAAAACAAACAAACAAACAAAAACTCCACAAGCAACAACCTTCAAATAAGCAGAAGAGACAATATTCATGCTTTCCATATTGAAATGAATAATCAGCCTACCAAATATGAATATATTCTCACTATCTTTTTTCCCTATTATTACTATCCTCCTTTTGAGAAATACCTCATTCAATTATAATCTTCACTCCTCAACCACATTGCTATCATCTACTACTTTTCCCTGCCTTTCTTCTCTGATTTTAATGTGTTGCTCCCTCTTTCAATCCTTTTCTCTCATTTACAGTGAATTCAACTACAACTCTGTTGACCTGTGTAATGGACAGCAGGGTGTGTCTAGACCCTGTCTACCCTGGCCGCGAGTATTTGCACAAGAACACTGACCTTGTACTGTACAAAATCAGTGCTGCTTGAGCAAATACTCTGATGCTCCCGCTCAGGGTTAAGCCCTCTTGCACAAGTGTTTTTGCGCAAGAGGGCCTGTGTAGACAGCAACATTAATTTCTTGTGCAAGAAAGCCCCGATGGCTAAAATGGCCATCGGAGCTTTCTTGCACAGAGAGCGTCTACACTGTCACGGATGCTTTTACACAAAATATATGCTTTTGTGCAAAAGCATCTGTGCCAGTGTAGACGTTCTCTTGTGCAAATACTTTTAACAGAAAAACTTTTCTGTTAAAAGTATTTGTGCAAAATAATGCCAGTCTAGACGCAACCCAGGAGTGCTGACCAGCATCTGGTCACTAAGGCTATGTCTAGACTGCAGGCTTCTTTCGAAAGAGGCTCTTTCGAAAGCATCTTTCGAAAGAGCCTCTTTCAAAAGATCGCGTCTAGACTGCAGGCGGATCTTTCGAAAGAGAAATCCGCTTTTTCGAAAGAGAGCACCCAGCGAGTCTGGATGCTCTCTTTCGAAGACGGCCTCTTTACATTGTAGAACGCCTTCTTTCGAAAGAGGAACTTTCGAAAGAAGGCGTTCTTCCTCGTGAAACGAGGTTTACCGCCATCGAAAGAAAAGCCGCGTTCTTTCGAAATAATTTCGAAAGAACGCGGCTTGAGTCTGGACGCAAGGGAAGTTTTTTCGGGAAAAGGCTACTTTTCCCGAAAAAACCCCTGAGTCTGGACACGGCCTAAGGGGTTAAACTCAGGTAGCTACTAAATGTGTTGACCAGGAGGCCTAGAGAACCAATTGAGATAGAATATTGAAATTTGAATTGGAGAAAGATTCCTTCAATGTGTTCTTTAGCTACATCAAGACTGGAGGCTATTTGCGCAAGAAGCTTTTGTCAGAAGAGATCTTCTGCAAAAACTTCTTGCGCAAGAGCGTATCCACACTGCAAAGCCACATAAAAAATGATGGGCTTTTGTGAAAGAGAGCGTCCACGCTGCATGGATGCTCTCTCGAAAGTAAGCACTGATTGGTCTGCACAGAATGGTCACCAGGGCACCTGTGCTTTTTCCTCTTTCCTCTTTTTGTGCAAAAAACCCCTCTTCCCCATCCACACATGCCTTTTTTGCAAAAGAACTCTTTCGCAAAAAGGCTTCTTCCTCATAGAAAGAGGAATACCAATTGCTCAGAAACTCCTCTGTTCTTTCAATTTACTGTCAATTTACTGTTGAAAGAACATGCTTCCAGCGTGGATGAGCTGCAAGTTTTTGTGGAAAAATGGCAGTTTTTCTGCAAAAAATCTGTAGTGTAGACATAGTCTTTGTGGGGAAGAGAAAAACCAGGAGCTGAGAGAGACAGAATAATTTAAACCCAGCTACTGTGCCTCCAAGGAATTTGGAGAATAAGAGTGGACTGAACAAAGAAGAGACTGGAATTAAGTAGAAGGGGGAAAAAAGTGAATTTAGTCACGTTCAGGGTATTTTCCCTGTATTTTCTAGTTTGGTTTGAACTGCTCTATGAGAATCTATGCCTCCCCTCCCCAGTTACCATCTAGCATTGTGCCCAGAGACTTTTCTCTATTTTTAATTTATCTTCCTTACTCTATACCATCTAGCAACCAAATATGCTTTATCAAGTTTATCTTTTTTGTAATAAAAATCATTTTTTTAAATAAATAAATTTAAATGCCGGAGTGAGGAACAGTCCTGACAACCTGTTTGACTCTAAACCTCACCCTCCGCACACTTCCCTTGTATGAAATACCACCCTGTATCATTTAGTCAAAAGGGCACTCAGCTGACTGCTTCACCAAGCAGCTCACTGTTCTAGCTTCAGACTCTTGATGCCTATCACTTAATCTCCCTCAACATTGTGCCTCCACCCAGTGCCCCTATTGGCTCCACCACAGTGTCTTCTGACCTCCCAGCCAGTGAATAATGTGTGAGACTTTCATCATCTTCAACCTCCCCTCTTCCTTCATTTTTGGGAACTCATTTGTTCCTTCTTTCCACTCTTCTGTCCTCCTTCCTTCATTGCATTTCTCTTTCCAACCACAATGTCTGCTCTTGTAACACCCTCATCAGTGAATGGCTTTGGAGAAACCATGTAGGCCTCCCATGGTAAAAGTTATTCCTCTCTTTAGTTCTGCCATCTGATACCACTGGGAGACCCATTTTGATCCTTGGAATTCACCTTTAAGATGTATATGGGATGTGTGGGGTGCCTGCTGGTTTACCTGTATTAAGGTGGAGCTGCTATTCCCAGGCCCGTCAACATAGGGGTAAAGGTGATAGTTGTCCCAGGGCCCAGCAATTCAAAAGGGCTCAAGGCTCCAGCTGCCAACGCCACTACTACAGCAATGGTGGAATTTAGAGCTCTGGGCCCATTAAATCACCGCAGGAGTACTGCCATGATGTGAAGACCACTGGGGGAGAGGCCCAGCATGGCGCTCTCCAGACAATGCTGAGGGCTGGCTGCTCCTGCCCTGCCCCTTCCACCCAAACCACTGCTCCTTCCAGGAGGGTGGAGCCAGCCTCTTCATCCTTGCTAGGGGCCTGGCAAAGCTGTGTGCCCTGCTAGCTATTCTTCTTATGCAAATGTGTGGGGTATTGGTGCCACAACCCTCTGTTTAAATAAATATGTAAACAAACCAGCCAGAACTGCTGCCTGCAGCTCGAGAAATAAGAAACTCCAAGAGAAAGGTTCTCAAAACTCACCTTCCCCTATAATAAAAGAGAACTGAGACACAATTCAGTTCTTTGAGTGCTCCTGCGAGGGGGAGGGGGGGGGCACCAAAGCTATATGCTGACACTTACTAATGGTTCATAATAGTACCAGAATATATATGGGACAGAAGAAAGAGTCTGCACAAATAACCACTGTCAAATGAGTATGTAAATCATGTAAATCATTTCCATATCCCAGTAGAGATAAGTCAATCTAGAAAGGATGACGTCTGGTGAAGTGCAGGGTCCTACTCATTAACCAAAACTGAATAAATGAAGAACCCTGCCAGAGATTAAAGAATGAGCCAATTTTACTACATGCCATCAGGATCAATAAATATAAGAGATTTAGTGGTTGATGTTGTAGCATTTTTTCTTGCATTGCATGCACTGACTGCCAAAATTCTGCTCCCATTTCTGTAGTGCAACCTTCCCCACAATTCTGCTATCTAGACAATTTCTGTGAAGGCGTAAGATGGATAAGAATAGGCCAAACCCTGGCATTCAAGTAGGCTGTGTCTACACTGGCAAGTTTTTCCGGAAAATCATCTGATTTCCGGAAAAAATTGCCAGCTGTCTACACTGGTCGCTTGAATTTCCGGAAAAGCACTGATGATCTAATGTAAATTCATCAGTGATTTTCTGGAAAAACTATGCTGCTCCCATTCGGGCAAAAGTCTTTTTCCGAAAGACTTTTGCCTGAAAGGGCCAGTGTAGACAGCATAGTTCTGTTTTCCGCAAAAAAAAAAAACAATTGCGAAAATGGAGATCGGGGCTCTTTTGTGGAAAAGCGTGTCTAGATTGGCCACGGACGCTTTTCCGGAAAAAGTGCTTTTGCGAAAATGCTTTTAACGGAAAACTTTTCTGTTAAAAGCATTTCTGGAACATCATGCCAGTGTAGACGTAGCCGTAAAGTTCTCATTATCATCTCATTACAGTTGACAGAGACTCAATGATTTATAAAGGTAGAATAAGCCATTGTGGTCATCTAATCTGATCTGCATACACAGGGCACACAATTTTACCTACCACATGTACTCATTCACTTGACTGTTCATTTATAAACCTTCCCCAAAAGGGAGAGGTAAAAATGGCAAAAAACATTGGCTCCTGGCCCATCAGAGTAAGCCGCTGGTGGGCTGGAAAGTTTTGTTTACCTGTTGTCCTCAGACATATAGCCCCTCAGCTGCCAGTGGCCACGATTTGCTCTTCCTTGTCAATGGGAGCTGGGAGAGGTACATACTGGCTGCCATATCCCACAACTCCTATTGTCAGGAACAACAAACCACTGCTACTGGAAACTGTGGTTCTCCATGCCTGCATATGCTTCAGGTAAGCAAAACATCCTGATCTGCTATTGATGACTGCCGATCTACAGTGAAAATATATTAGCTATTCAATTCATTAGATCTTAAAATCATCAACTTTTGTTCTAACCTATTGATTAGCCAACCCCTGTTCTTCGATGCTTCACTTTTTAAAAAAAAATTGTATATACTCATTTATAAACCAATATCAGGGCCGGATTAAGGGGGGGCTAGCTGGGCAGCTGCCTGGGGTGCCAACCAATGGGGGGTGCCTGATGGCAGCTGTAAGGGGTGCTATGCACCTGGCTGCACACTGCCCCTTAGAGCTGCCATCAGGCTTTGCGCACCCGGGGCCGGGGGCCATGCGGTGTCCCTTAGAACTGCAATCAGGTGCAGCTGTAAGGTGCGCAGTGCGCCGGGGGGAGGGGCTTTCAAGTAGGAATAAGGGATCCTCCAGAAAAGGGCTTATTTTCTGGAAAATCGCGTCTACACTGGCGCTTTTCTCTGGCAAAAACCCCGAGCCAGAAAAAAGCGGCAGCCATGTAAATGCAATTGCCGCAGGGGATATTTAAATCCCCCGTGGATTTGCAATTCCCAAGTGTCTCATTAGCATCCCTTTTCCAGAAAGGGATGCCAATGTAGACACAGCCCTCATGTAAGCATTCAAAATAGGGTTTAAATGGGATAAATATGGTACTCAGAAGAAATTGTTATAGGTATAATTGGAGAACAGGAGAAATATTTAAACATTTTTCAAAAGCCAATACAGTAGATGCTCATTAGTAGCAACATATTGGTGCACTTTTGCTATATTGTTCCTAATGCTAGGTATACACTGCAATGGTACGTCAGAAATAGAAACGCAATTTGTGGTACACAAATTGCATATCTTTTTCCGCTATATGTCTAAAGAGACTTTCCAAAATTCAGCACATTTACACAGTGCCAAATTTCAGAAAAAAGTGCTCTTTCAACACATCTCTTATTCCTCATAAAACAAGGTTTACAGGGATGATTTTTTTTCCAAAAAAAGTGGACACATTCCTTGGACACAGCATTGCTTTTCCAGATACCTGAGGTATCCTGGAAAAGCAGTGCAGTTTAGACATAGCTTTAAGTGACTTTTGCTTTTATGGAGAGTGTAGGCAATTGTCTGGGTATGCCAAAAGAAGGACAGGAGACATTTGCTATGGGTTTAATCAGGCCACATATTTACTATTAGATGTCTGGGACTAGCCAGCAGAGAACATGTACAGTGCAGGTAACCTTCCTTTGTTTTCTGCCATAATTGACCTGGCGGGGGGTGGGTGGGTGGGTGTGTGTGTGAGAGAGAGAGAGAGAGCCTTTACTAGCTCCCTCCCACGCACACACATTCCACTGAGGCCCCTCAAGCAGATACATTGTTGGGACCTTACAGTCCCAGGGAGAAGTCTTCACCAACTCCCCTCTTTCCATCCAGATTCAGCAAATCCATTACCAAGACCTCACCAATCATCTCCCTCATCAAAGAGGTAAAGTAAACTATAATGATTGGGTGCGGGGCATTGGCTCCAGGCCATATCAATTATAGAAATCCCCAGCTACCGTCAGTCTCTCAATTACCAAGCACCTCTCCTCAAATCCTTTATCCATTTATCTGTTACTATATGCCTACTTTTATGGAGCAGCTGCATTGAACATCCACTGTACAGTTAAATAATGAGGTGCTCCATAACGCCTACCTCCCATCGTGTTCTGGATGAACAGGGCCCATCTGACTCTCATGCAAAATTTCTCTCTCAGCTCCAGTGCTGAGGACCTACATGGAATTCTATGAACTTACCCAATTGCTCTTTTTTAAACCTTGTATGCTACTCACCCTCATACAATGTAAACTTGACTTTCTTTTCTTTTTGTATGGCTATTTCTGATGTTATATAGTCTCACATTTTATACAGGATAGGGACTTAATCTTGAAAATGAGGAAATCTGTCTTTAAGTTAGATTACTACCAAGGTTTGTTATGATTTTAAATAAATGAGCAGAAAGTCACATATATGTGACCATTAAGTAGAGGGCAGGGAAAACAATCAATACAAATATTATAGTCAAAGGACAAATATTTACCATCTGTAAGATACTAGTAGTAGTAACCAAGCAAAATAATGTAGTGCTGGATGTAATATCTGTGGAATTGATTCATAATACTCTAATGAATTAGAAATACTGTAAATAGTACATCTTGTTTTATTTTGAAAAGCCCCGAAGGAAGAAGAACAAGGAGCAGAAAATCCACCAGAACAACATCCAGAGGAAGAAGCTATGGGTAACAAGTTCTATAAACTAATATTTGATCAATGTTGATGAACTTTTGGGAGTTCTGAACATCTTCTTCAGTGGTCTCCCTCAACTTACACCAGTATCAGGCAGTCCCATTTATAAGCAACCTGTTTCAATGAGACCTACTGTGCAGCTCTGTCACCTTTTAGCTTTGTGAATTGACTGAAAACACGCGACAGTGAGGGGATACAACATTTATCAAAATTTTAAATAATCTTCTGGAGGAAAAACTCATGCAAGAACGACTAAATATTTTACTGCATAAATGTGAGGAAAGCAAACAAAAAGGGGACTTTTCACCCAGAAAAGCTTTGAGAATCATACCAACTTGTAAAATGGTAGGCAACCACAATAATCAAGTTATGTCAACTTTAGACAATGCGAACCTCCAAATGTTCACAATCACAGAGCAAGATACTCTCATTGAGCAGAAAAGACGAGTGCCTAATCTTTATCAAGCTATCCCAATAACGATCAATCGAATGGCAGGCATTCCAAAGATAATTGTAATACATGTAGGTGTTAAAGTTATGCTTTAGTACTATGTTGATCAAGCAAAAGGCTTGGTCAATGGCAAAATTGGCACCATCACCAATATAATATGGTCCTACTTCTGCCACTACCAAATTCACAAAACCGATATCCCTAAAGCTGAAATTGAATTAGAAGGTGATGTCGCAAAGCACATCATCGAGCCAATAACATATCAATTTCAAGTGAATTTTGGGTATGACTTGGTGGAGCAGCGAATGCTTCCAATCATCCATGCTTATGCAATCACTGTCCACAAACTACAAGGGACCACGGTGGACAGAGCAGTTGTGAACCTTGGCTCTCAATAGTTTGCACTAGCTCAACCATTTATTGTGCACAGTCGAGTCTGTTCTTTGGAAAGCATAGAGATCGATGAAATTGATCCAAACAAAATCATGGGCGACAATGTTTGTCAAAAAACTCCTTAGAAGAATTATAGCGTCTTTGAAGCCTTCCTCCTTTTAACCAACAAAACAATTGATCACCTCAATTACTTTATCCTTGTCTTAAACACAACTGATTTTAATTAAAAATGTAATACCTAGTGCAAAAAGCATTTTTGTAAAACAGCCTAGCTCAACATACATAAACATATTAAAACAAACCTTGGAGTTTTTATTAGTTTAAACACACTAGATTTAAGACCTAAAAAAACAACAAAATAAAAAAAAAATCTTTCTAAAAGTACACCAAAAAGTCAAAAATAAAATTTTAAGCTAGCAATGTAGGAGAAAGGTTGTATGGCTAACAGTTAGCAAGTATCTTGAATCATTCTCCTACAATCTTTCTCCTACATTGCTAGCGTAAAACTTTACTTTTGACTTTTTGGTGTACTTTTTAAAAAAATATTTTTAATCTTTTGGTGTGCGCTTTTAGAAAGATTGTCTTTTTAAAAAGTTGTTTTAATATTTTTTTTATTTTGTGCTTACACCCTGGATTAGAAACAGAGGGATACAATTTGCAATGCTTATGTAAACAAATTCATGCTTACATGAACCAGAGAACTCAATGGAATGACTCACATAGGTAAGTGCTCAGAATTGTCACTATAGGCTCAATTATCTTTGCCTATAGTTATATAAGGAGTAAATTTTAACACGCAAAACAAAAAAGGAAAAGTTAATATATTAACTATATTTTTCACTTGTATATTTGAGAGAGTCTGTCTGTCTGTCTCTTTGTTCAAGATCTCCTATATGGTAAGAGCTAGCACCACCAAATTCAATATATAGCTTCCTCTTATCATAACTTAAAACAAAGTAAGGGTTTGGTTGTGTAAGGAAAATGAGATGTGCCTGCAATGGGATTGCTTCTCATAAACCATACAGAAACAAGAGGCAGGTGAAAGGAGCTAGCTGGGGCACATTTCCACCCTCAATTTGGGAGTGTCCCACCCCTGAACCTCCCACCCACAAGAGCGTTTTAGGGAGGGCGAAGGTGGGGGGTTAAGCTCCCCCCTCCCTGATTCATATGGGACTATTGCTGGCTGTTCCCCTTCACCAGGGAGTGAGGGAAAAGTGCACACTTTGCTATATTCCTCATTCTGCGCTCGTCTAGACTACGGGGAAGATTTGAAAGAGTATATGCAAATTCATGCAAAGTAGTCTAGATGTGTTTTTTTGGGCAACCTCCCTCCCTTTTTTAAAAAGCCACTTTTCCTCAAAAAATGAGGTTTACGCAGCTTTTTGAAAAAGGGGAGGGGTTTCTTTCCCCTCCCCCCCTGGTTTACGCAGCTTTTTGAAAAAGGGGAGGGGTTTCTGTCCCCTCCCCCCCGGACTACTTTCACTTTCGAAAGCTTTGGAGCGTGAGGGGCAAACAAACCTGGACCTACTCCAGCCAGGGGACGTCATGCACACCTGTCCTCCAGCTGTGCTCACTGGAGCTGCAGCAGCTGTGGAGAGATGCTTCTCAGCTGTTCCAAGTTGCTGCAATGGGAGAGGGCTGGGGTTGTCCACACTCCCTGAGAGAGAGCCTGTATACTGAAATCTTCATCCCCAGCCCAGCTACAGAGCAATGGTTTAAATGAAGAAAAACAAAAATTAATTGAATTCAGGATCCGAGAAACTCTGGGTAAATATTCTCTTTACAAATAAAATAAGTCTTTAATCAATGATATACTAAAATGGAACACAAGCAACCATTTTGGTTTTTTAAAAGAAAAATAAGCAAACTCTAATTTATTATGTATTTATTATGGCTATAGGGCGAGATGTGCTTTGGACTTCATTGGAAGATCTGTTTTGCTTTAACATGTTAAGTACAATAACATAAAATATGAAGTTTTGTCCTTAATATTTCCCATGTGGATGAAGGGTGTTTTATCTATGAAGAAATTAACCCATGCAGCAGCCCAGGAAATTGTCTGTGCTCTCTATTAGAGATACAAGGTGGGTTTTGTTAATTTCTAAGGTGCTACAGGAGTACTCATTGTTTTTTACAAGGTGAGGTAATATATTTTATTGGACCAATTTCTGGTGATTAGGTCTTAGTACATTATCCTGTCCCTTGCCATATGGTGGATTTCACTCTGAGAGATCAGAAATGCCTGGCGCACAACTCACTTTTCCCTCTGTGATCTTATTATACATTTGTTAGCTTGATGACTCATAATTGGATACATGGATTTGTTTAAATAACCAAACCATATTATCAGCAAGAGCATGTTGCCAGAGCCCGTTACCTTCCTTTGCTCTTAAAGTATTATCAGCAGGATTTTTCAGTCCTAGAAGCTTGACTACACAGTGAAATAGAGATCTGTAGCCACTTATGCCTTTTTTCCTGGTAGTATAATTAGCATTCAGTTATACTGTCATAGGAGTATGACCAATCTCTTCTGAGTGCTTTTATGGCTGTTTATACAGCCTGTAGGAACAAGCTGAAACTTACATTGTCTCTATATTATACTTCAAGATTACTGATCATCACCCAGCCAACAATTTGTACTTTATGCCCCAAACCCTCTAGCAGCACCCACATTGCTATCTTATCATAAATGGAAAAATGAAAAAGTGAGGGAATTCAACTGTGTCATTTTTAGTAGCAAGTATTAGTAGCTGAAGGCAGCAAAACATCAGTTCCACTTTGAGGTCAACCGGTTGCCCTTCTTTTTACTATAGAAAAATAATAATGAGTAGCTCATTACATCCATGCTTTGGAAGGAATTGGGAAGTGTCGAAAGCTGATCTGTAGCTGATTTAAGTATTATAGGTATGCAAGCAGAAACTTAAAAAACAATGGGTAGTCTAGCAGCACCTTAAAGACTAACAAAACTTGTGGATGGTATCATGAACTTTCATGAGTACAACCCACTTCTTCACATTCATCTGAAGAAGTGGGTTGTACCCACAAAAGCTTATGATACCATCTACATGGTTTGTTAGTCTTTAAGGTGCTGATAGGTTATTCCTTGTTTAAGTTTTTCCAGTTACAGACTAACTGGGCTACCCCCTGAGGCTTTTGAAGTATGCAAGTATTTGTTTTTTTTTTTTTCTCCTAAAGGTGACAGCAATTATCTTAGTTCAGTCCTTACTTAGGTCTTGTCAGCTATAAACTATTGAAGTATACTTAGAATGATGTAGCATTTACAGCAGTCTATGACTTTACAGTTTAATTGAAATACATTGGGGCTGCTGTCATCTTTCTCTGAAGCTAGAGTACAGGAAGGAGATTTTGCAGAGAGAATTTTTTATTTTAGTTTTTGCTTCATAAATGGGAATATTTTAAGACTTTGTAGATCATGGCCTTACACTTACAAAGCAATATCTGGAGCATCACTTAGCTCTTTATATAGCGTTTGACAATACTCTTTCTTGACATCTTCCTGTTCAAGTGGCATTTTGCCATCTGTTCCTTAGATGACATTACAATGTGAAGTGAAAATTTTAGTATATACTTCTGCTGTGATAAAAAGATTGTCTCCCTGGCTGTGCCATTCTAATTCTGTACAATGCCTGTTGATGCATTCCTATTTGTCTTGTCTGAGTAGCTATTTTATTTTTCTATTATGTTCTCTTACTTAGCTTGCACAGTCTTCATTAATTTAAACACCTGTCTTTCCTTCATTAAAACCAATCCTAAATTTTTGCTTCCTATATTTTAATTTTATAATCTTGTGTAGACTTCTAATACAAGAGAAGGGCTGTTATATAACCCACCTTGTATAGGTTTTATGGCATTCAATGACAGTAAAGAATATGTGCAAACTGCCTTTTCTAAATTGCTTTTTTTAGTGAGTCAAGATTCTTTTCTGATGCACCAAAATAGCTATGCTGTTATTCATTAGACACCAAAGTTGACTTGAAACTTGATTGACATTTTGGCAAATAATGTTTTAAATTTTCATTTAGAATTTGAGCAACTCATGTTTTATGAAAGCACAACCTAACATAAAGACAATAGGTTTGCAGATCTGGCAAACATAAAATAATTTAGGGAAAGCTTATATTATAGATGTATGGAGCTTTCAGTTAACATTGATATGGAGTGTTGTTTTTGCAAAAAACAAAACAAAATATGTTTTCCTCTTGACACACAAAAAGTGTGTCCACCAACAAAAATATGTATGGGCTAACTGAAAAAATATACATTATGTGAATACTAATACGTATTTTATAGATATAAATTAGATTTATTGTTTATTGCCATATCTCAGACACATGCTGAACTTCTGTAATTTAATGAAGTCAGGTTTATTTTTCCCCCAAGTGATATGTTGACTTCAATCCTGATTATATTCTTTTTAATCTGAAGTTCCATTTATCAAAATTTGCCAGAGCAGACAAGCATTTCCATAGTACAAAGATAACTATTATAGGGTTGTGAAGGATAGAGTACATGGAGTACTGTGGCATGGAATTAATATGCACTGAATTTTAAAGGAATCTCCTGACTCAAATGCGTTCTTATCAAACTTGAAGGGGACAGAGAGGGACGGGAAACATAACCATCTG